GCCAATCCCTTGTGGTCCCCTCTGGCTGACCTGGGTTTGAGCCAAGTAGAGCCGACTTTCCTTCCGCACCTCCCTACGCTGCCACAGGTTTGGGAGCTACTTCGTAGCTGACGCGGGCTAGCGCTGACCTTGGTCAGTCCGTCGGAGGATCGGACTGCGAGGGTCGAGGATCGGACTTCCAGGACCGAGGTTTCTTGGAGACGCTTTTCGCCCTGCTTGGGCCTGCCGGGGTGCCTTCGTCGCCACGGCTGGGTCATTCCTGCAGGCTCTGGCCAGGAGGTACGCCCGGATGGATTTGGGAGTCCATTTCCAATCCCCGGACCCAGACCCCCTTTGCGTCGTGAACAAACATACGACGGAAGAGCGTTGTCAGTGTTCGACCCTTGGGGGCCCTTGCCTGCTTCTGAGTCAGTCGAAACACGACGAAGATGGAAAAACACGGCCCACGTCAGGACCCCCTTTTCCCTCCATACCTCCCTCCCCCTCCCTCGTTGCGGAAGATGCAGAGATGAGCCGGAAGAGTCGAAGGAGGAGAAGAGGAGGAGGAGGTAGAGGAGAGGAGAGGAGAGGAGACGAAAGGAGAGGGCATTCGTAAAAGCGGTCGCGAGGTTCTCGGTAAGCGCAAAGGGCCTTACGGCCGTATCCGCCGACCCTGGGAGGTGAGCAGATTGAGTGCAAGAGAAGGACGGACGACGGGGGCAAGGGGCAGATGCGGTTTTAAGGTTTGGGCCTCCCGCGTGGGGTCGGACCAGATGGGGTCGGAGGGTCATCGCCGGATGCATTGGCGGTGCATTGGCGATGCGGCGCGATCCTCCGACCCATCCCCCAATTGCGCATGGGTCGTGGTCCAGAGGCGGAGGACACCCCGCCTGCGCAATGACCCAAGCGCCAGGATCATTGGGGCTCTCCTTAGCAAGCTCCTTCCTGGAAGAACCCGCGCTGGCCGCGGGGCGCACATCGCCCAGGCTGCCCAAAACAACGAAACGATGCGCACAATGCGGGCCCCCGCAGACACCCCGAGCAGGGGCGTCAACCAAGCAAATCACAAACCCGCGGGTTGGGGTGAAACCCGGGGGTCTCGTCCCAGGACCCGCTGGGGACTTATCGCGGCAACTGAGAGGGGGGGGGGGCTTGGCAATTTCGAAGCCCGCGGGGTTCGCGGGGTTCGTTGACAAAACCAGCGGTTCGCAGGCCATCTTGGGCCCACTGGGGGCCCTTCGAGTACCCTTGGACCCCCTGGCGTCGGAAGTGTGAGCAAATCGATGCGATCGGGGATAAGCAGAGCGAAATCAGTCGAACATCATCTGGAAGTCCCGAGAGTACCCCCAGAGGCCCCAGACAAGACCCCAGAGAGGTTCCGAGAAACCCCATCGAATGCCCACTAGAGGCCCAACGGGGTCTTCAACAGCCCCGAAGCGCGTCAGAACCAATCGATCTTCCACGGACCGCCGGATCCTGACGGAGCGGTCTTCCGCGGACCGTTTGACCGAAGGCAGCGGGGCCCAAGCGGACGCCCCGCACGAGCAGGACAACCGAGGCGCCCAGGGCCTCCAGGATACTAATCCCAGGCATAGTCGGGCCCTGTCGAGGCCCTCGCGGGGCCCTCCTGGGGCCCACTCGCAGCCAGGCGCCGGCCGCCCCTGGCCCAGCACCTGTCCCTCGCGCCTTTTTTTTTGGCGCGAGCGAGATGGGCACGGAAAGAATGGGCACGATGCCCAGCAGCGGTCCCTGTTCATTTTGAACAGGGCTCGCTGTCCGCGCCGCCGTGGCCTGTGTCCATCTGAGACAGAAGGCCGCCTGCCCAACAGCGGCCGCTGTTGGTCTGGGACAGCATTTGTTCTTGGGCATTGTACCCAGTCTTTCCGTGCCCATTTCGGGCGTCCACATTTTTGGGGCCCGCTCAGGGCCATCTTCAGGTCACCCAGTCACGGCTGCCGCAGCTTGGCGCTCGGGCAACGCAGCTCGAAAGAGGCGCGGGGTTCATACATCGGATCGACGCCATGCTCGCGTGGTCGTTGAAATCCTCCGACAGGGGAGAGAATGAAGGGACCACAGGGTCCTTCCCTTGGGCCTGCGAGGCGGCAAGTGCAACAGGATATGCCCGATTGTCAGGCCCCCTGGCCTCCCCTTCCGGCACCTGGACATCCTCTGATGTCAATAATCACGACGGAAGGTTTTTGCCCACGTTCGGCCTCCAGGAGGGGCCGCTTCCCAGATCTGGGACAGTCAAAAACGACAAGGGACGGAAAGCCAGTCCCTATGAAGGAGTCGAGACTATGGGGGGCCCACATGGGCCCACGCTCCCAGATCATCCGTGACCGAAAATTTATGGTAACGGTCTGGAAGAGCCAGTCGCGACCGAAATTTGGCCTCGGGTCGCGAATTCCGCTATCGAGCGAGACGTCGACGTCTTCGAGCCAGATCCCGACGCGCCGTCTCTTCGCTACCGAAGTTCGGCCCCCTCGGTCGGGACCGAGGCTTGGCGCGCCCGAGATCCTTGATCGAACATTTCTGGTCCCGGATGATCTGGGACCGCTCCACTGGCACCGGCTTTTATCTTGAACCGTTTCTCGGCCGTCTTGGCCCCCCACGAAGTCGACAAGTGGCAGAATGCTTCCGCCGCGACTCTTCCCACAAGGAGAGGTCGTCTGGACCTGTCGGGTCGGACGAAATTGGGGGGTAGCAAACCCAGACCCCCGACGTCATGATTTTTTCATGACGTCGACCCCCAGAGGTTTGGACCCATTCCCCAGGACCGGTTTTTCATCCTGAATCGTTTTTTGACGGTCCCGAGGCCCGGTAGGGGCCCCCAAAAGCCACAAATATGGAAAAACCTCCCGTCGTGATTTTTTCATGACTCGAGGGGGTCTGGGAAAGGGGGCAGGTCGAGGTCTTCGGGGGTCCACGCTGCGACAAAAGCGCGACGCCGGGGGTCCCGCCGGAATACGTCGAAGCTGCCGCGGCCCGCTTCGCGGCTGGCACGGGCCAGGCGCGTGTGTGCTTCGGGCGCGCGGCACACGCCGAGAGAATCTTGGGAGCGGCAGGTGGGGGCAGCCGCGCGGCTCGATCCGCCCCAGACACGCAGCATCCTGAAACATCCGGACGTGGGCAGATGCTTCGCTTTTTTCAGCCTCTGGGGCCCTTTTGCCAGGCCCCGAGTCAGGATGCAAAACGGGGCCTTGGGGAAGTGGTTGAGAGGTCGGGGCTTCCTGAACAAATCGAGACGCTCGATGCCTAGGCTGGCTCCGCCTGGCCCAGGGATCCGCTCCGAGTCGGTCCCCGGGCCCCTCCCAGGGCCCGGCCTGGCCGTTTGCGCGGGGCGGGCGCTGGAAGTTTTATCACCACGGGCGTTTTCGCCCGGCCCCTCACAGATCGATCCAGCTTTAAGTCGGGCCTGTCCCTCTACAGTGGGATTTTCGATGAAAAATTTAAAAAATACCACAACAATAGCCCCAAAATAGTCCGGTGACTATTTGTTGTGTATTTGTTTGCCATTTTGGTGTATTTTTGGGGTATGTCTTATTGTTCGTCGAAGATCCCCCTGTAGGGGGACAGGCCCGACCCAAATCCAGCTCGACAGATGGCTCAGAGAAAAGGTGGGGCCTGGGGCCCCCGTGGTGCTTTTTGTTGCGATGCTGCACCTTGTTCTTGTTCTTGGAACATCTCTTGGTCCTAGGAACATTTCGTGGTAGGACTGCAGGAATGCCGGGACGGTCGGTCCCTGCTCGACACAGATCGATCCAGCTGAGCTGGACAGCGCTCGACACAGCTCGACACAGCTCGAATGGCGCTGCTATGTTGCGAGCCGCGCAAACTGCCCCCAGCGTCAACTGAAGCCCCGACCCCAGTGAAAAGAAAATTTCAGAAAAAAAACGCTCCTGCGACGATCCTAGACACTGGGAGAGGTGACAGCTCGACAGATGGCTCAGAAAAAGGGTTGGGGCCTGGGGCCCCCGCGGTGCTTCCTGCCGCGGTGCCGCACTGCTCGCGCCGTGCCAGCGCCCCCGGGGGTCGGGGGAGGGCCAGCTGGCTGAGACAGCCGCGCGGCGCGCTCCGCCCGGCCCAGGCAGCGGTCAGGAGGGGGGAAAACACACACACACACACATACACACACACACACACACACACACACACACACACACACACACACACACACACACACACACACACACACACACGCAGACACAATTCATCGCCGATCCCTGGGAAAAGATGGGGAACTATGGGCAGTGGGGGGGAGGACAAAAACCCGGAACATATGGGAAAAGATTGGGAAATATGGGGCAGGATGGGAAGATATGGGAAATAGGGGGAAACATGGGAAGTGGGGGGGATGACAAAAACCCAGAAGATATGGGAAAACATGGGGGGATCCTGTGATTTGTGTGTATTTGCTTGTGTGTCCCAGGGCCCCTTCAATCGGCTCGGAGTCGGTCCCCAGGCCCCTCCCCGGGGTCCCTCCTGGCCGTCTGTGCGAGGCGGGCCCCGCCACGCGGCGGCGGGCGGCCTCCGGGAGGCCCCGAGAGGCCCCGAGATCCCGGCCTGGCGTTAAGGCGGGCCTGTCCCCCTACAGGGGGCAGATCCAAGAACAGTCAAAAATAGTCTGGGGACTATGTTCTAAGTTGTTTTGACCATTTGGGAGTCTTCTTGGAGATGTTATTTATTTATTTTTGCAAATTTTGGAGCATGTTTGGGGGTATTTCTTATTTTTCGTCGAACATCCCCCTGTAGGGGGACGCGCCCGACTTGAGCCTTGCGGCTTTTCGCAGCGGGCGATGCTTGCCCCGCTCGGAGCCCCGGGGCCCTCACGGATCGAGCCGGCTTGAAAAGCACATCGGCCATGCGGGGTCCAGGGCTCCATATAATATAGTCGAGGTGTGTTCACGATATTGCATTTTCGTCGCGGCGCCGGATCTCAGGGGAGGACGACTCCAGGGAGGGCCGCCGCGATCTCGCGCAGCCCCTCCCAAGAGTGGAGCAGAAAGAAGATGAGCCAAAAGTGGAGGACAGCATCATGCCCATCTTCGGCAAGAGCACGGCCCCGGCTTCGGCCGCCGTCGCGGATGCCGCGGCCACGAAGGAAGACGCCGCGACCACGGCGACGGAATCCCCGCCCCCACTTTGATTGGAAGCGGGGGGCGAAATGGAGGGCTGCAAGATCCGCGCGACGCAGAAAAATCAGCGACGGCAAGTGTTTGCTACACTGGGATCTGGGCCTCGCATTTCCGTCGGGAGCCTTGAGGCAGGGGTCAATGCAAACGGGGGTCAGCCAGACCGCCCGATCTTGCAGGTACCTGCAGGGCCAGGGTCGCATTGACCCGGGCTTGGATGCAGGATCCTGCAGGATCTTGCAGGATCCTTCGCATTGACCCAGGCTTGGGCGCAGGATCCTGCAGGATCTTGCAGGGTTCTGCAAGGCCAGACTGACCCAGATCTGGATTGACCCGGGTCAGAAGATCCCCGATTCCGTTCGTACTGGGCGTTCTCCGACCAGTGTCGGGCCGCGGGGTCCCCACGGATCGATTTGGCTCGAGACCTGTTTCAAGAAAAAATGGGGGCAGAGGTCGGGGGCGGCCAAGAGGGGGTTGATGACCAGGCGGGGTGGATCTCATGGCGGGGGCCATAATTCCTACCCAAATTTCATGGCGCGTCTTCTCAGTTCAATACGTCCCCGGTCCCCCGCATGGGCCGCGCACATGCCGCTGGTCATGACGCGCGCCCCCCCCTCTTGGACGCCCACCTTTTGGCCGCTCCCGAAGAGGGGTCTGCTCGCGATGTTTCACGATGCAGCAAGTTTTTTCTCAACCATCCTGTGGTGTTGTGTCCTCGTTTTGAAGATGTCCCCCGCGTTCTCCTTCCTTCCTTCCTCCTCCCCCCCTCCCTATTCCCCTCACCCCCCTCACTTTGGCACACCCCTCACACGTTTCGTGGCCCCGTAGGGAGCTCCACCGAAGGCCCAAGTGCTACCGCCCGCATGCCTCACCCCCACCCAGTGCATCGTTTCGTGGCCCCAATGGGGAGCTCCACCAAGGGCCCCAGTGGCGCCGCCCGCATGCGCCACCCCCCACCCAGTACAGCGCTTCGTGGCCCCATGGGGAGTCCCACCGAAAGCCCCAGTGACACCGCCCGCATGCGTCACCCCCACCCAGTACAGCGCTTCGTGGCCCCAAAGAGAGTTCCACCGCGCCCGCACGCGTGCCCCTCGCCCAGTACAGCGCTTCGTGGCTCCATAAGGAGCTCCACCGAAGGCCCCAGCGGATGCACTCGCATACGTTTCCCCATGGCCCCATAACTAGGGAGCTCCACCGAAGGCCCCAATGGCGGTGTTCGCATGCGTCACCCCCCACGCAGCACAGCACTCCGTGGCCTCATGGGGAGCTGCACCGAAGGCCCCGCTGGCTGTGCTCGCATGTGTTTCCCACACCCAGTACAGCGCTTCGTGGCCCCAGAGGGAGCACCGAAGGCCCCAGTGGCACCGCTCGCCTGCGCCATCCCCCAGCCAGCACAGCGTCTCGTGGCCCAACAGGGAGCCCCACCGAAGTCCTCCGTGGCACCGCCCGGATGCGTGACATCCACCCAGTGCAGCGCTTCGTGGCCCCATAAGGAGCTCCGCCAAGGGCTCCAGTGGCACCGCCCGCTTGTGCCACCCCCCACCCAGTACAGCGCTTCGTGGCCACATGGGGAGTCCCACCGAAAGCCCCAGTGACACCGCCCGCATGCGTCACCCCCACCCAGTACAGCGCTTCGTGGCCCCAAAGGGCGCTCCACCGAAGGCCCCAGTTGATGCATTCGCATGCGGTTCCCCAACCCAGTGCAGTGTTTCGTGGCCCCATAGGGAGCTCCACCGAAGGCCCCAATGGCGGTGTTCGCATGCATCACCCCACACCCAGCACAGCGCTTCGTGGCCTCATGGGGAGCTGCACCGAAGGCCCCGCTGGCTGTACTCGCATGCGTTTCCCCCACCCGGTACAGGGTTTCGTGGCCCCAGAGAGCTCCACCGAAGGCCCCAGTGGCGGCCTGGCCCCACTGCGGCGTACCCCATGCACTTTTCCTGGCCCCGCAGTGCGTTCCGCCTAAAGCACCAGTGGCAGCGCCCACATGGAGGCCCCGCCCCACATCGGCACACCCTTCGCATGCTTCATGGCCCCATGATGAGATCCCCCGAAGGCGATACCCGCAACGGCGGTACTCACAATAGCATATGGTTGGGTCCTTTGCCAGGATCATTTCCGCGCCGTCGGATCTCAGGCCTTTGGAGGCCGTTCGCGGGCCGTGGGGTCATCGAGGAACGACTTTCATGATGCAGGTCTGGCCGTGTGGAAGAGGTCGGGATCCCTGGGGGCGCGTGTCACAGAGAAGCGGCGAAGTCGGAGGAGAGGGAGTCGGAGAAGCAAGCAGGCAAGGAGCCTGGCGCTTGGGCGGTGCATGAGCAGCTCGGAAAGCATGCGTCCGCGGCACCTGGCACATGTCGTCAGGACGGAACGGGGGGCGGAGAAGGGCAGGGAAGGAAGGGGTACGACATCTCATGCATGCAGCTGGTTTCGGCCCGGCCGCAGGGCGCTCATTGTCGCTCTCAGCGCCTCCGGGCGCTTGGGGAACCAGCTGCACGTGCGGCCGAGTCGCTAAACGTTGCCCATTCCCAGACATTTGTGATTTTGTGCACTGCCGAAGTCCCGACCCTTTCCCTCGGCCGACATCTCACCCTGAGTCGTCCTTTGACTGCCCTGCGGCTGGGCAAGGGCGGGCCCCGTGGGGCCGAGAATTGCGACCCAAAAACATCCGTCTTGACCATTTTCCCTGACTCTCCACCTTCGACACCTTCCGACCAGCAGGTGGCGGCTGTAGCAGTCTCAGCGAATTCAATGGCAAAACCATAACTACAAACTTTCGGGTTTCTGCGCGGATTTCTTGGATCGGGGCTGGATGACCCTGGCGGCGCCTCCAGAGCCGCCCCTTGCGCGTTCTTGCGCACATTCAAGAAACTTGTGCGGACCGTCAGAAGCTTATGTTTGATGTCTTCTTTTCTTCTTTCGACTTTGTGAACCAGCGATGACCCCAGACAATGTTTGTATTGTATGTGTTGTGCAGTATATACGGTGCAATCGACGTGGTGTAATGTTTGTGGTGCAAAGCATGATGGGCAATGCAAAATTGCATACTTGTATGTGTATACATGTGTATCTACATACATAATTACGTTTACGTAGAAAGTGCTATCTGTTTGTTGGGAGTTGTGTATGTCGTGCAACCGACGTTGTGAAGCTATGTGGCGCAATGGACGTCTTGCAATCGACGTGGTGCTGTCTGCGTGGTGCAATATATACGGTGCAATGCATGTGTGTTTGAATATGTGTTGTGACGTATAGGTGGCGCACTGTATGTCGTACGATCGAGGCGGCGACGGGGCGGCGCGACGACGCGGCGGCGACGGCGAGCACGGAGCCGCCAGACCAACACTCGGGCCCAGACGACGGGGCGGCAACAGGGCGGCGATGGCGAACACGGAGCCGCCAGATCGACAGTTGGGGCCAGCTCCTGAGAAGGGAAGCGAGGACCCATAAGTGCAAGCACTATTTGGGGAACCTGCCGCGACTGTTTCAGGACGCTGGCAATCCTTAGGCTTCGGGCCACACTTCGGGCCACTGGCGGCCGCTCGGGACGATCTGGGCACCTGAAGGAGCGCTCGATCGGCGAGACGAAGCTGCTGCTGGAAGGCCTTGAGAAGCGAACGGAAACGGCTCGAACGCTCGTCCGTCTGGCAGAAACGTCCGAAACGCTCGTTTGTCTGGGTGCACTACTCCTGGCAACTCCAAAGTTCGCGAGGGAGTGTTTTCCCACAAAACAACCGGAAACCCTTCCGAAACCAGCCGCCAACCCTCCGAAAACAATTTTGGAACCCTTCAGGGAGGGTTCTCGGACGGTTCCGGGAGGGATTCGGCCGTTTTGGAGACAAGCCAGTCCCTAGCGAAAATGGGATTTTGTAACACTGCCCCCCCCCCCCCTGTTCGTCCACTTGCAGAGTCCGCGGCGGCCGCACGGGGGGTGTAGCGTTTGGGGATCGGTGCGTTGGCCACCTCCTGGTGTTTCAACGAATTCTCGGGGACCAGAGATACCCAGGACCTATCCTCTTCCTCCTCCTCCTCCTCCTCCTCCTCCTCCTCCCCCTGCTCCCTTTCCTCCTCTTCCTCCTCCGCCTCGTCCTCCTTCTCGTCCGTCTCCTTCGTAGCCATTTTGGCTCAAACCATTATGGCTCAAACCAGTCCCTTCGCCCTCACGAGGCGCTTGGGGGACAGCGGGGCGCCGGTCTTTCGCTCAGGCAGTCGACTCCGCGGACGAAAGCAGGGGGATGGCCTCGCAGCAGCCTGCCCGCCCATGACCGTGCTGTGCCAGGTGCCACACGTATGAGCACAATGACCTCGTGGCAGCTCGCAACAACCAGTGCGGCAAGCGCAGGTGTGCAGTTAAATAGCACAAGCCCAAGTCTCAGCGAAAGGGTGAAAGGCCCAAGGGTGTGGATGGCAACCAGCTCGCACTCTTGCACGGCAAGTTTTCGCCAATCGGCCCGGCTGCGGTGGACAATGTCGGGCAGGTCGAGGCCTTGCTCGCGCAGATGCTGCTAGAACGCATGCAAGTTATCAGGGCCTCCGCCCCAGCCGAACTCGGCTCACGCTGCGGTCGAGAAAGCTACGTCGAACTGGAACGACACAGCCTTCAAACATGAGCAAACTGCCAATCAAGGTCTTAAGCTGCGCGGGAACCTCTCGCTCAGCACCAGAGGAAGATGGCGACGATGGCCCTGGCGAAAAAGGCAGGCAGGTGTGCTTCCAGCTCACCGCGGTCAGCACCCCACCCAGGATGCCCCGAAGACGGTGAACGGGACGAAGAAACCTTCGTTAATCTAGACACGGACGAGCGCGAGGACTCGGAGCGCACAGAGCCGAGGGCCATCGAGCGCGATCCGAGGCAGGCGCGCGAGGCTCTCCACGGGAAAGGTGGGAAGATCACCGAGTGGAAGGATCGGCTACACGTAAGAGTGACCTTTCGCCGGAGCGACCTTTGGTGCGGGCACAATGGGGTCCCCCGATC